GATATCCTTAGCATCCTTAGTAAATGCTGACACCTGCAAAGGCTGCAGGGCAAACTTTGCTAAACACACATTTTGATTTTTATGACTCAGACCCAGCAAGAGGCAAAATGCTGTGACGTGTTTTAGGGCTGTTAGAAATGGAGCAACCAGCACACTCACCGCAGACAGTTGATAAATGATTGAAGACCTGGTCCAAGCTCACTGTGACACAAAAATGACCACTACTACTCTAGATGGATACCACCAAGAGCAACCCAAACTATGCCCAATGCTGCCATGACAGCCATCCCTCCTGTTCCCCTGACACAGCCAATGTCAGCTGGCAACATGACCCTGTTGTAACTGCTGGACCAGCCCCGATGTCACAACTAGTGACAAGTGGGAACTAGTGTAGAAGTGGGAAAGGCATTGTCACCTTATCATCATCTTACTGACTTTTTTGCTTCCATTTTCCTTCTGCAGTGTGACAATAAGTGGCATTTACAGCTTGACACAATTGTCTACCTTGGAGTCGCACGCCCATTTGGGATGCACTGGTGTGTGTCACCTGGCCTTCAGCTGCTGCACAGTGGCTCTGGAGATCCTGGGGACATCTGCCTACACCATGAGGCTATTGCCCCCCATGGACTTCTTAATGAGTCTGGATCTGAGTCAGGATCTCCACAGGGACCGTTTCCAGTTTGTGGGGGAACAGGAACTCTATTCATAGACCTATCTCCTGAATTAATCACTGCTTAAAAAATAATCCCCCACAACGTGGGTTTAATCCCAAACTTTTCACAGGAATTACACAAGCTCAGTGAGTCACTGCCTCACACGCATCGCTGTGGAAACAAATTCCATTGATAAACCAGCCGTGACTGAACACTGTAGGGACAAGGACCCCACTGTTACTGCGACAGGTGTCCCCTGTTTGTGCAGTGGGTTACTGGCTCCAGATTTTGTTCAAGGTAGAAACATACGTAAGGCATCAGGGTTTTGTCTGGTTTCTGGGAATTTCCTGCTTTTCCCCACCTTCCATGGTAGTCATCAGAGCCATAGGTCTGCACCTCTGTGCAGCTTCTCCAAGGGCACCAATGCGTGTCCCTAATGCCTGCCAGGTCCAGCCCACAGCAAGCACGCTGCCAGCTTCGGTATGAAAAGTTCAGGGGTTTCCTCCCTTGTTTAAGTCAAAGGCCACAAATATTTTGCCATAGCTACAAAACATGATTTCACTGCTTCCAGTCCCCGAAACCCTCTTTTGTTAGAACAAAGCAGGTAAAGTAACAGCAGCGGAAGAAGTTAGTCTACTTGATGAAGTAATCTGCAGATAAGATGTAGAAGAAATTAGTGCAGAGGGGAAATAATAAGTACTGCCTGATGAATGGTACCAGGAAATGTCTCCTCTTGAAATGCCTTGTGGGTTTTCTGCAGTGGCATCTCTGGTCAGCCTCACACTTGAAAACTGAGTGCAGGCTCAAGAGGCAGCTCGTTTTCTGGGCAGTAATAACATGTTTAGCTAATTATACAAGTTCCTGTGTCTTGGTTTCCCTTTGAGAGAGACCAAAGCAGCCTGGGCTGTAACAGAAAGCAGAGGATGTTTAAGATGGATCTAATTAGGAGATCTTCTATTTGAATCACAAAAGAAGGTAAACCATATTATATCTCTGGGTGTCATCTTTATTTTCTAAAACATATGGGATAGTAAGTGTTGTGCCAGGTGGATTTGCAAGAGAGGGTGTAATTATTTTGCAATATTTATGAAAAAGAAACTTACAGAAAAAGTAAAAAGGAGGTCATGTAGATCACCTATATTCTGGGTTAAAGTGAGACCTTGCTATTTACCTCTATGAATCTTCTGCACTTTAGAGTTAATTTTAAACATTTTTCAGCCTGAATGCTGTGGAGGAGAAGAGATTTGGTAGCAAACTTGGGCTTCTTTAGCTCTCTGGGGTTTTATAAGTCAAAGATACTTATTGCCTCCCAGGAGACAGTGTGTATGAGAAATGATGAATGTGCCCACATAGCTTCTATGTAGCAACAGAAAGTACATAGAGACTTGAGAAATTGCTTGCTGAAAAATTTGCAGTGATTCTTTTTTCAATGAAACATCAAATGAACAAGGGGAACAGCTACATTACTTGAGAAGGACATTAATATTTTTCCCATTTGCAATGTGATGTTTGTTTGCTTGTATTCTGGCTTTCTAGATACTGCTTTGGGATTTTTGGACTTTTGACTAGCTATCAAAGCCTGAGTAGCAGCACAGTTCTCATTTGCATGAGTTGTCATCTATATGGTTTCTTATATATACAATTAACAGGGCGTTTGGTCTCAGCTACATGGTTGCACAAAGGTTGTATATGAAAATAGAGGGTGACCCACAACATTTGAATATGAACGCAAGTTTGTGAACAGTGCAAAATATACATGCAAAACTGTAGCAGATGCTGTTTAACCTCATCATAAACTTTGTTTAATGACCTTTTTTCCTTTCTAGTATCTGTTTTATCAACCCGTTACCAATGAAATACAAGTTCCTTGAACAGATTAAGCTATTGTACTGTATGTTGGGAGCAGATGCTGTACATACAAAACTATCAGAAATCTTTGTTTTGTTAGTGTTTCTATTGTTAATTCATGTCACTATCTCAAGGACTTGTGTCACAGCTTATAACTTGGCAATGTTTCCCTCTTGATCCATTTTGGATCTTGGGATCCATCTTGGACTTGGGATCAGCCAGATCCATGGAAGTCTCGAGGTTGTCACAAGTGGATGATGTTTTCAAAATAGCAAAATAGTCTCTTTTGTAGAATGTTGGATATACTGATGGACAGGCTCAGGAAACTGAACAGACACTTCATTTTCCCTGGATTGGTTTGGGGTTTTTTTTTCCAATTCTGCCAGCCATTCATCCATTGGATTAAAAAAAACCCTGTAACAGTCTTTTCTTTTAAATGGATTTTGGGGTGGGTTGGGAAAATATTCTGAATCAGTGAGATGTCTTGCTTTCTGGTTATTCCTATACAGGAGCATAAGAGCAGCCATACTGGGTCAGCTCAAATGTCCAGATAGCATAGTTTTCTGATTTGTGTTTTTTCCCTTTGTTGCTAGAATATCTTAAAATTAATTTTCCTTTTTAAATTGCTCCTCAGAGTTCAGTTGACATTTCCTCAGACCCCATTTATGAGTGGTAATAGTCAGTTCAGAGTCCATCACAGAATACATAACATCAGGATCATTTCTTTCTACCTTACAATTATCAGTGCTGAATTTCATGACCCAGTCACTCAGTATCCTGAGGTCCCTATGCAGATCTTCACAGGCAGACTTTGCTTTTGTTAGCTTCAACCATTTAAAGTTTTCCACAGTGTTGTGTCACTAATCACTGCCTTTCCCACATCACTTGAGAACGGAGGGTAAGACGCAGGCTTTCGCACACCTTCCTGTGGAGCTCTGGTGATAACATCTCTCTATTGGAAAAGCAAATAATTTCTTCTGACTTTTGACTCCTATCTTTTAACCAGGTCAGTATCTGGGTGAAGTCTCACTGCAGATGAATCTCTCTAAGAACCACTTTTGATGAGAAACCCTGACAAATGCCTGTTGGAAACCCACATCAGTGACGACAAACACGTTGCTTGGCTATAAGCTCATTGCTGTCCTCTATCCATTCACAAGGTGAGACCACAGATCGTGCTCATATTAGTTTTCTGTCATGGGCTCTTTTGAGCAGGAAAGTCACAGTTAAGTGCCCTGTCTACTTGGGAGTACCAGCTCTGATATGCAATGTGGTGGCATAGGCAGACGTGGCCAATGTTCATTATCATCTCAGGAGGCGCTGTTTTTTCTGCTTTCACCTGGTGATTCACAGCCTTTCAAAGCCTGAGTTTGTATGAACAACTTTTTCAGTACAAAAAGATCACTATTTTACAAAAGCTTATTATTTCAATCAAGCTGATGTTATCAGGTACTCTTCAGTACTATTCTTAAGAGTCTTTTCTCAGTGCCTTCCTTTCTTACAATGATTTTCACAATCTCCTTGGGTTCTGCCTTTTCCTGTAGCTCTCTCTACCAGCTGTTCATTCGGGAGCTAGGGAAGTGCTTTGGTAGGAATAATCAGAAAGTGCATATTCATAGCAAAATACGTATTTTTACGTATTCTTCAACTCCCTTTCTCTATTCCCTCTGGTTGCATAAATGTGTCAGCACCTGTTGTAAGGGTCCATGCATGTTTTACCTCTCCCTTTATGTTTCCACATCCAAGATACTGCATGAATAAATTAGGGTTGTTTTTTCTGGGTTTTGATTTCAGGCACCACATTATATTCTGGTGCGTCAGTATTCATGGCTTCTAGGTTATTTACTTACTATCTTCAGTGCAACTAATGGAGATGTATACTAAAAACTCAAAATTACATGGATTTTTTCCAGGAATATCACTCTTCATTGTTTCCCTTGTTAGCCAAGGGGTAACACACATACAGAAATCTCTAGCTGAGCCCATGATGTTACTGCAGCCCTCTCCAGAGTGAGACAAGGCCGATAGCAGAGCTCTCCCTGATGCAACGGGACAGGCCCTTACTTACAGCAACATTTCTCACTGTTCCCTCATGTTCTGGCTGTGCATTTGCCAAATACCACTGTGAGGAATATTTGAAGATCCAAAGTCAACTTTTCTCATGGCAGATGAATTTCTAGCACCTCATTTGTCCCTGTTAGGAATCTACTTAGGACCCTGCTTTCTCCAAGCGATTTCTTTCTCCCTCCATTTTGAGTAGGTACGTGAAAAAAGGAGGTATGAGGGAAACAGTCTGGTGACAGTGGCAGAGGAATAATTACAGACCTTGTTCCGTGCTCTGTCTTGGATGGAGTGAACAGGCAGAGTGTGCTGAAGAAGTCTGAACATACTCTTTTTGTAGAGTGTGCTGGTATTTCCTACTGTGTGAGTGAGCTGAAAATTCCCCAATCCTTTTCCTTCATTTTCCTCTCAGGCTGTACAGCAAAGTCACTGGACAAAATGCCGTCCCAGATTACTGCAGGTCTCCACTGCCTATTTCTACTGGTCACAGCATGTTGCCAGAAATCACAGGACTCAACCTTTCATCCGTTCTTCCAAGACGTAGTGAGTATCCTTTTCCAGACCCATTGGTTTTCATTTGGTCTCTGCTTGTGGCACCCACCTGCTATATCTCTCCTTTACATCCACAAAACCTTAGAGGAAGTCAGTGTAAGATCAGGTGGGGAAACTGAACCCGGAGTCTCACCAGTGTGTAAAAGAGATGGAGAAATCCAGGAACTGGGCTCTTGCTTCCCAGTCTTAAAGCCTCTCCAGAAGGAACTGAGCAAAACTTCTGGTTTCTCACTTGGTTTAGTCTGCAAGGGATTTAAATTGCTGTCCCTGTGGCTATAGGTAACAGTTACATGGGCACTGTTCCTGGATGGGATTCACCCATCCTGTGAGAGAGAGAAACCAAGTAAGTCAACAAAACTAGCTCAGGCACAGAGGTGCTTATAGGTAGGTGATAGGAGACTCACCACTGTCTTGACAGTAGGACATGAGTGCACATGACCAAAACACCACTCCTGAGTGATTTGTGTTTAGATGTTGCACTTGGACTCAGACTTTACTTCAGTTTCCCACTTTTTCAGTAATTCTCACATTATCTCTTTTGCTTCATCAGTAGTGTGAATTATGGAAATCTGTTTTGTGCTTCGTCCTGTATATGGGTTTGGTAACAGGCAGTTTCTGCAGAAATAGTCCCTAACTAGAAATGACCAAAGAGGAACAGAGAAACAAAGGGACTGACAAAATGGAAGTTAAAATAGTCTAGTAAAGAAAACTAGTCTAAATCTACCAGCTCTTGGTCTATTACAGTTATTATTAGACCAGAAAATACTTCTTTTGTCTTCTACATTATGAACCCTATCAAGCCAAAACATATTCTAACATCTCTATTCAACCCCTAACACCACAGGGACCTTAGTTCTGAGGGACTAACCAGAACACAATGTGGTTTTTTGAGCAGGTTGCAAAAAGGCAAGGAGAGGTGAAGAGGAGGGTGGGAACTCCTTAAGCTGCTTCTGCCACCATCCCCTGTCTTGGCAAACCAAGATATAGCTGGTTCCAGTCTGCCCCTCAGCAGATGTCTAATAGTGACCAAGTATCTTGTTTGCTCTGTTTTTTTCAAACTCTCTGCAGTTCAGCACTTAGGCATTTTCACTGAAAGAGTAACACTTTATTTTTTTAGCATCATTGATCCCTGGTTGATCCTACAAATGAGTCATCACTTAATGGTGTGAAATATGTGAAGTATTTAACAACATAGTAATACCCTGTAGTTGTTTTGGGAGAATAAAAAAGGACAGCACTGAGACCAAACCTGGGGGAAGAAGTGGATCACAGTGGGCTTTCTGTATCTTTTGCAGCTAACCTCTAAGGTGAAAGGTAGTACCCCTAGCAGTGCAAAAATGTCAATGCACCTTGGGGTCTTCAGTGCCAGTGCAGCTGTTATATGAAGCCTGGCTCTAATCACACACCAGATGCTTCCTTTATGTAAAAAGATGTCTTAAGAGTTGCCAAGCTATTCACCCTTTCTGTAAATAAAGATTTCAGTGGAACTCAAGAAACTGGCGAAGTTGCAAATTTCCTGCTTGTGTCTTTGCTTGTTCTTTAGCCTTTCTTGCTTACTGTGGTGTCAATGTACTTTTAGGGCATGATTAAAAAAAATAAGACTGTCTGCATCTCACTTGGCACACTCTATGTGAACCCAGTCATACCGAAATTGTGTCTCCACCACCCTGGTCAACTGCGTGCTACTGATGGCCCACAAAATAGCTGACCTGACACCTAAGCTGGAGCCAAGACATTTCAATCCCCTTTCTACTCCTACTCAGGCTGGCTTTGCTGCTGCAGAACTGGAAGCTCAGAGCAAAGAGGAAAGCAAAGGACAATATGAGTCCACTTTCTGGATTCAAAGGCTGAGTGACCAGGTCTCCCAAGCAGTTTGCAAGGCTGGCCCATGACTGAGAGTACTGCATCTGCCCCATGGCAGGTTTGCAGCTCAGACACAGAGTTTATGCTGAGACAATTGCCTTGCAGAGATATGCAGACACCTACAAACTCAGTACATCCCTCAGCTAGTGTTTAACATTTCCCTGCTTGGAAGATATAAATATTCTGTTTAAAGAGGAAAAGGGGAGCGGGGAGCAGCAAAGATTGGTGGAAGGAAAAAAATTATCCGTGCTGGTATTTTTGTCACAATTCTTTCATGCCAACAACAGCAGCTAAAGCTTCACTTCATTTTTTCACAGACCTTCACTCTCTTTTTTCCACAGACTGACAGTGTGCCAGGAGAGGAAAGCTTCCAGACAGAGATGCAAAGCCAGAAGCAAAAGAGTACGTACACAAATGTATGGTAACAGAGCAGGTTTCTAGTAAGCCAACGGTGAAATCACTATTGGGGGCAGCACCTCTTGAGTTACTGAACCCCAGTCATCAAGGGGGAGTAGTTGTTGCAGCTGCTTAGCCAGCAGCTAAGCACCACCCAGCTGCTTGCTCACTCTCCTGCAGTGGGATGGGGGAGAGCATCAGAAGGGTAAAAGTGAGAAAACATATGGGTTGAGATAAAGACAGTTTAATCAGTAAAGCAAAATAAGGAATTCATTCACCACTTCCCATCAGCAGGCAGGTGTTCAGCCATTTCCAGGAAAGCAGGGCTTCATCACGCATAATGGTCACTTGGGAAGACAAACAGAATAACTCCGAATGTCCCCTCCTTCCTTCTTCTTCCCCCAGCTTTTATTGCTGAGTGTGACGTCATATGGTGTAGGCATCACACTCCAGGTCATATGGTGTATGACATCATATTGGTCAGTTGGGGTCAGCTGTCCCAGCTGTGTCCCCTTCCAGCTTCTTGTGCACCCCCAGCCTGCTTGCTGGGAGGACAAAGGGGGAAAAAAGACAAAACCTTGATGCTGTGTAAGCACTGTTCCACAACAACTAAACCATTTTGTTATCAACACTGTTTTCATTACAAATCCAAAACACAGCCCCATACAAGCTGCTATGAAGAAATTTAATTCTACCCCAGACAAAACCAGTACAGTAGTAAAGGCACAAACAAAAGAGGTGGAAACTTTTGTCCTGTCAGAGATTGACATAGAATCATAGAATCATAGACTAGTTCAGGCCGGAAGGGACCTTTAGAGGTCATCTAGCCCAACCCCCCTGCAATGAGCAGGGACATCTTCTACTGGATCAGGTGCTCAGAGCCCCATCCAACCTGACCTTGAATGTTTCCAGGGGTGGGGAATCTACCACCTCTCTGGGGCAACCTGTTCCAGTGTTTCACCACCCTTATTGTAAAAAATTTCTTTCTTATATCTAGTCTAAATCTATGCCATTTTAATTTAAAACCATTACCCCTTGTCCTATCACAACGGACCCTGTTAAAATGTCTGTCCCCATCTTTTTATAAGCCACCTGTAAGTACTGAAAAGCTGCAGTAAGGTCTTCCTGCAGCCTTCTCTTCTCCAGACTGAATGACCCCAACTCTCTCAGCCTCTCCTCATAGCAGAGGTGCTCCAACCCTCTGATCTTTTTTGTGGCCCTCTTCTGGACCCGCTCCAGCAGGTCCATGTCCTTCTTGTGCTGGGGACCCCAGAGCTGGGCTCAGGGCTCCAGGTGAGGTCTCATGAGAACAGAGTAGAGGGGCAGAATCACCTCCCTTGATCTGCTGGCCACATTTCTTTTGATGCAGCCCAGGATATGGCTGGCTTTCTGGGCTTTGAGCACACACTGCTGGCTCTTGTCCAGCTTTTCACCCACTGGTATCTCCAAGTCCTTCTCCACAGGGCTGCTCTCAATCCCATCACCCCCCAGCCTGTGCTGATACTGGGGATTGCCCTGACCCAGGTGCAGGACCTTCACTTGGCCTTGTTGAACCTCATGAGGTTCACATGGACCCACTTTTCAAGCTTGTCCAGGTCCCTCTGGATGGCATCCATATGATGACATATATGAGCACAAGTTCTATGCAAGTTCAAAGACACGGTGTATTAAAAACCCGAGCCTCTTAGCAGGACAGGGGACGCAAGATAATCCTGTATGGCTTCAGTCTATGGTTGACAACCCATCCTCTTGCTGAGTCAAAGGAGAGAAGGGACGAGACAGCTTTTCTCTGTATAAGTTATGCCATTTACATCAGCTTCCTATTGCTCTGAGACCAAAGAAATCTGGCTTTTGTCAGTCAAGCAGCAGATAAAATGTATGCAGAATATCTGCTGAGTAGGAAGCAAGATTTCCAAAGCAGAGTGCCACACTAAGCTACCATTGAATAGCAACAAAGAGCCCAAATGCCAAACTGGAAACCAGCAGTTTGTGATTTATCCTCACACACACCTTTGCAGTCTCATGCTATTTCTCTTTCAGTGTTTATTTTTGACCTTCCCACTCTGGAGTACACTGTTGACATTGAAGTAAGCTTTATGGATTCAACTTTTCTGGAGCCAATCAAAGAGTATTTCAAAAACCTTACTTTTACAGTTTCAACAAATATTTCAAATGTAAATGTGACAGTTTCAAACATCAACATTACAACAGGTGAGTTGTTTGTTTGGGTTGGTTATTTATTTTTATATTCTGGGTGACATGCTTTTTTGCCAATATTTGATCTCTCCCAGTTTTACCATCCATCACCCTTAGAAATCAGCAAAACCAAGCTGTCTCTGCTGCCTACTGAAAGACCCAACAAGAATGAAGCTCTAGCACACAACAGCAGGTTTTGTTGCCTGCATCCCACCACTCCTCTTTATATAACATAGGCATTAGGAATAGCCCTGAATGCTTTTCTTTACCTAAGGAAGGGACAAAGCGAGAGGAAGCCTGAGCCAAAGGATTTTGCTCCAGTTTGACTAACAAGCAGTCTGAGTTACTTTCAAGTTTCAGGAAGTTGCGACAGCAGTTATCAGACTGTTTACTTCCCTCCACTTGGATTTGGAACGTAAATTGTTGTAAGAGGCTGTACTCTGATGCTGACAGAGACAGGCTGCATGCAATGCAGTCTTTTCATGCTATAACTCACTAAACATATTCTTACAGGGAAAGATATCAGACAGGTTTTATTACCTGAGTTGTGGTTATGCAACATCACATCCAAGTAATTAATACAGCAGAGGATATACAAACACACCAAGCAGAGGAAGAGATGTGGTACCTTCTTATTGTTGGCCCATAAAGCAGTGAAAGGAAGTGTTCATCAGTTCTCAAAACAACATGCAAATGGATCTTTTAAAGGCCTTCAGGGTCACACGCAATGTGTAAAAATCACTTTGTTAATACCTTACTTTGCCAATGGCACATTAAGAGCAGAAAAACTTACAGTGAAGTGTTTTGGTTTTTTTTTAATTAGAGGGAATGTTTGTTTTTAAAGCACTTTGTGATAATGTCACCTTCTCTCATGCAGCATCTGTCAGGATACAGTCAGAATGACACAGCATCTCACTAGCCACCAGGACTTTGAATGATTATACATGCTCTTACAATCTTTAAAAGGCTATACATTTGCTTTCAGCCCAGACAATATAGAAATATCCAATCTGAAAACTATCATAGGACCCTGGCTAATAGGCCAGGTAAATTTTTAGGATCAGGCTTCACATGTCTATTCAACTACTTAAAAATAATTGATCAGACTTATCCCTGTACCAGTCTGGTTCCCATTTCTGGTTAGTCATTTATAATTAGTGTAGTAAGATTTGCAAGGCATCAGATTATCATGTTTGCATCACTGAAGTGAACTCACAAGAAGGGCAATATTTAGTTGAGATCACTGGCATAAAGATATAGCAGGGTAAATATATATCATGTGATACGTTATGCTCTGTCTACCATTCTCATAGTATTTCTCTGTCTGTTTGACACCAGTCTGTCTGCTCAGTGGTGAGAACAATAGCTGTTGCTCTTGTGAAAATGGATATGCCTGGCCAAGTGCAGTGTGCAGTGATTTGATAACCTGCCCTTCTGTCAGCCTAGCACCTGCCCTGCCCTGTGGCTACGTGAAGGAAATGCCTTTCTACGGGCCTTACTGTGAGCCTCAGACTGAAGGTAAGGAGAGACAGTGCTGAACTTCATCATTGTACAACTCATATACTGGTTAAAAGATGGAATATTGTTAAAGGTGTGATAAAGCAACATGGCAGGACTGAGCTGGCTACCACATTGTCTATGAATGTGGAAAGTCTGTAGAGGTGGTCTAGAGCTCTTCTCTTTGTGATGTGGGTAATTGCAGATTTAGCACCATACAGCAGCCCCAGCTCCTGGAATCACTCACATGCCTCTTTGGGACTTTCAGCTTCTGTTAAGCAAAGGAAGTTTCATCTCATCAGATTTTCAACAGAGGAACTTACAAATGTGACCAAAGTGTGCCATAGTGCTCAAAAGAAGAAAAGGAACCCAGCATATATCTTTTGTTTGGTTTTATTTCATGACTCTCGTGACAAGGTGCCCATGAGTTTTTAGGAACCTGACTGATGACTGGATACTTAGGCTTGGCAGCACTGAGGTGGAGCACTATCTTTTGTCTCTGCAATCCAAGACAAACACCCACGAGGCTCTGCCTCTGACTTGTGATGGAGTGACATGCAGACATACCCAGAGGCAGCCCTAGAGCTGGAAGAAGTCCAGTGTTGTCACCATGCCTGTTCTAATGAACTCTGCTTAGAGGCAATACTTTTATCACAGAGCAGCCCCATATCAATATTGCTGTACTATTTCCAGGACTAGAGCTAGTATCTCTTCCATGTGGAAGTCGCACACCCCTTAGAAGTCCAGGGCCCTGGGTACAATACTCCTCCACTGCATGGTATGGACATGTCCTTAAACGGACCCAGCTTAGAAAATTTCAGTATCTCTCTAAGCATTTTATGATCTTTCATGCCCATTGATGGGTCTTCACCCAGAATATTTCATTGAGGATTTTTCCATTCATTTCAGTAAAACATAGGTGGAGATTCAACCTGTGTAACTTTTACTATGTAAAAGTTAAGTATCTGATCAAAGTTATTCATCCAAACTCTCTATAACTGGAGCAATGTAGCAATTCAACCACTGTAGGAAAGCTGTCTATCACCTTCTGAATGTATCACCTTTTGAAGTTGTCTATAGCTTTGCATCAACTTGAGACGGAGTCTAAATATCTAATAGATGCCAGGCATCTAAATTAGGTATAGAAAATTAGGAGAATCCCAACTTTCCTATTATACAGATGAATCTTGGCAACTTGACAGATTTTTATTTAGGATTAGATGGCTTCACCAAGGGCAAATTGTGCCTGACTAATCTAGTGGTCTTATAGGGTGGAGTGACTGCATCAGTGGACAAGGGAAGAGCTACAGGTGTCATCTACCTAGATTTCTGTAAAGCCTTTGATATGATCCCCCACAACATTCTTGCTCCTAAACTGAAGAGATATGGGTTTAACAGATGGACTGTTAGATGGATAAAGAACTGGTTGAGTGGCCACGTCCGAAGAGTTATCATCAATGGCTCAACATCCAAGTGGAAGCCAGTAACAAGTGATGTCCTCAAGGATCTGTACTATTTAATATCTTCATCAATGACATAGACAGTGGGATCGAGTGCACCCTCAGCAAGTTTGTAGATGACACCAAGTTGAATGGTGCACTTGATTTGTTAGAGGGAAGGCATGTCATCCAGAGGGACCTTGATCACTCGAGGAGTGAGCCCATGTGAACCTCATGAAGTTCAACAAGGTCAAGTGCAAGGTCCTGCACCTGGGTCAGGGCAATCCCCAGTATCAACACAGGTTGGGGGGTGACGGGATTGAGAGCAGCCCTGCAGAGAAGGACTTCGAGATACTGGTGGATGAAAACTGGACATGAGCCAACAATGTGAGCTTGCAGCCCAGAAAGCCAACCATATCCTGGGCTGCATCAAAAGAAGCGTGGCCAGCAGGTCAATGAAGGTGATTCTGCCCCTCTACTATGCTCTAGTGAGACCCCACCTGGAGTACTGTGTCCAGCTCTGGAGCCCTCAGCACAAGACTACAAGAATGATCCAAGGGCTGAAACACCTCTCCTATGAGGCCAGGCTGAGAGAGTTGGGGTTGTTCAGCCTAGAGAAGAGAAGGCTCCAGGGAGAACTTATTGCAGCATTTCAGTACTTAAAGGTGGCTTATAAGAAAGACAGAGAAAGACTTTTCACCAAGACCTGTAGTGACAGGATAAGGGGCAACAGCTCTAAACTGAAAGAGGGAAGGTTTAGATTGAACATAAGGAAGAATTTTTTTACGATGAGGGTGGTGAGACACTGGAACAGGTTGCCCAGAGAGGTAGTGGAGGCCCCATCCCTGGAAGTGTTCAAGGTCAGGTGGAAGTCCTTGGCCATGGCAGGGGGGTTGGACTGGATGATCTTTAAAGGTCCCTTCCAACCCAAACCATTATATGATTCTAAGAATCTATGGTTAAGTTAGAAGAAAAAGCTAAGAAATCACTTTGTAAGCATTGCTTTAATTTTTACATCTAATTTTATGTTTTTCCTTACAGACACCTGTGGCATGGGAGATCCTATTGTAATGAATATGTCAGTCAGACTCAACAAAAACTTTTCAGATGATCTCAGGGATTCTTCTTCTGAATTATACAAAAGATACAAAGCTGACCTTGAAAAAGCGGTAATGACTTTCGTTTTCTACCTCTGAAGGCAGAAAGCTCTCTAAGAAATATGGTGTTTACCCTAAGTGTCTGGGAAAGAGGGTGCGCTGTCACTGTCTCTGTGGGGATCTGTGAAGTATGCAGCAGTGGTAGCTACAAAGTTGGCCAAAGCTGACCTCCATTGAAAGGCAATGACAATATTCCCATTCACTTTAATATGCTGGCTGACAGGGAAGTATTTAGGAATCTTTTGCATCAAAAGCATGAAAAAAAATCACATTATTGGTCCTAGCTTAAATCCACATGAGCACACACGGAATATAACCATCAACACAAATTTGACCCATGACAGTGGGGAGAGCACCAGGCCTGTTCTATGAGAGATGCTACATGCCCTTACTCACAGCAATGCTGAATGGAAAGTTTCCTATTTTAAGCATGCTAGATCAATATACAGAGGACTTATGTCATGTAATATGTCTTTGTTTACAGTTTAATGCTAGCTACAGATGTTTACCAGGTTTTGTATCGGCAACAGTAACTGCTTTCAGGTAAGTAAACAATTTCATATTTTCTGGAAGAAACAAATCTTTCTGTCAAGTCTCAGGGAGACACCAGTCAGCAAAGACTACATTCACTCTGGCTAGAGCCTGTGCCCAGTATATACATACTAAATAACAGTTTAATAGCTGCACAGGAAAGCCCAACTATTAGCATGGAAATAAGACTGCAGGTAAAATTCAGTACTGTGCAAAAGTCTAAGAAACATAATCATTCTCCATCTAGATTAAAACCTTTTGTGGGAAAGACTGAATTCCACCCAAAAGGGTAAAAGGATGCCAGTAAACCTAACATTATTTCCCAGGTTATCAGGGAGATGAATTAGTACATTGACTCTGGATATAACATTGGATTTGGATAAAAGAGACATTACTTAAGTCCACATGTATTTAAATGCAGCTGTATTTCAGGTTTTCTAAGGGAAGTTTATTAGAAATAGATAGTGGATGAAGGAGATGTCACATAAAGGTGTTCTTGCTTTGGGAAGAGCTGTAGCACAACCTTCTTGCATACCAGAGCAAGTCTTGAGTCACAACAGAAGCCTTCACAGGTTAGCCCTGTGAAGCCTTCCTAGCCATGCAAGATGGGTCACCACAACATAGAAACCCACTAATATGCAAGAATATTTCATTCTGGTGCTTCTCTTATTCTTCTATCTGTTTAGGCCTGGAAGTGTTTTTGTGAACTACGAAGTAAAAGCAAGACCAGCAAGCTTTGATCAGACAGCAATTTCCAACACATTTGTACCACAATTTCTAAATTCATCATACCAGCTAAACAAAGCTACCTTCACAGAAGAAATAACTAGTAAGTTTAAAGCTTCTCAGTATTTTCCTTCAACCTTTACCTTAGTATTTCTAGCCAGAACCATGTCTTAGACTGTTGAGTATTTGGTACTGGATCTTCAAAAAACATTTATTTCTCTGGCTGTTTCATTTCATCCTGTCCCACCAAAGCTTAGGACTTACATGAGATGACCATGCATGCAGTACCTCCCACGGAAAACCAAATCCTTCCAGGTACTCCACTGAACCCTGATGCAGTCTCTCCATGGGAGAGAGATTGAATATCCTTAAGTTCACCTCCAGAACTGAGACAACTTTTAGCGTATCAGGCTGCCAGCGCTTTCCACTTCTTCAAACAAAACAAAAACCTCTTGCAGTTTACATGAGAACGTGTTCCCCAGCTTCCTTGGCACATTTTCCATGCTGCTGCTGGACAGTGTGTTACAATTCAGTTGCCTGATCAAGTGCCCCACAGGTGCTGTATTCTCAGTGCGCTGAGTGCTGGACTGTCTGTATCAGAGGATTACTCCAACCTGGTTGCTTCTCCTCCCAGTTTATCTACTTAGAAAATAGTGGTGGTGATAATATTTCTGGCTCTCTGCGTAAAACCTTCTGGGATCTTTGGCTAACAAAGATAGTAGAATAATATGTTGCAGGAAAATTGCATAGCTCGTATCAGAGGTAGTGCCCTGCAACTGATGCTGAGTGCATATTAGTTGTGAAGCATCTAGGATTCCCATGACATGAAAGACACCATATAGACATGAGCTGAAATGACAATAATGCAGAATGTTGTTCTTTGTCTTCCCAGATCAGACAAACTTCACTGTGAGTCCTGTAGACTTTTTTGAAGGGGATACAGTAAGACTGATTTGTGAGATAAATTCAAAATCTGAGAATGCGACCTGGTATCACTTCGATCAGATCATCTCACCCAGCTTCCATTACTCGATGGAGAGAAAATTTTTAATGAAAACCTCAGAGTCAGTTCTTAAAATTAGTGACACGACGGTGAACGATTCTGGTATGACTTTCTGTCATTAAAACAGCAGATATAAATCTCTAGTGTGACTAGTTCTATAAAAAACGAAGAGCAATGCAGTGACTGGTATCACAATGCAGCATGGTGGTGTTGGGTTGATGGTTGGACTGATGATCTTAGAGGTCCTTTCCAACATTAATGTTTCCAAGTTTTACTTTCATTAAAAAATAATCCAGCCACCAAGCCAGGAAACATGAAATAAATTATTACTCTCCTCTTAATTGGTTTATTGGTGGACTTGGTAGTGTTAAGTTAATGGTCGGACTTGATGACCTTAAAGGTCTTTTCCAACCTAAACGATTCTATGATTCTATGATTTTCCTAAAGTAAATGTGAAAAATACATTCTCCCTCATAATTTTCCAGTGTTTTGGGTTTTTTTCTTTAATGAACTACGTACTGACTGGCATTGCTGGTAAGATGTGAACTGACTGAAGTTCACAGGCCTGGGTATTCTCAGTGCCAGGCTTCACTGCCATATCACAGGAGGCAGTGGTGACCGCATGGTTGTGAGGCCTTCCCACCCTTCTAGTGTGGTAACCTGAGACTGTGGTTGAATTTGTCCTTGATGGCCCTTGCCCCCTTTGCAAACACAAGCTAACTAATCAGAGCTCGGAGTTACAGTTTTTCAAGTGTTCACGTTTAGGCCTTTTTGAAAATCAGAAACAGGTAAATTGGTGGCATTTTGCTCGGAGGAGTTATCAGGGGAATCACCATGTATTATCAGAGCTTTGACTCAAGCTCCCACTCAGTTCTTCTCTTTGGACCATGAATTTTACATTCAACTTCAAAACGGGTAGCCTGTGACCAGGTATTTGGGCACACATATGCAAGGTAGGAGTCATGGGTCCAAACTTCTTTAGGCTAAGGATGCCCTGAACCTTGGTGTCTCCACTCCTATGTAAGTAGCCTACTCATTTGACTATCCCAATGGGGAAGGGGAACCCACGTACCTAAAGTGTGAAGGAAGTTTGGAGCTCTGATTCCCGATTTCAGAAGGAAGCCTGGCTGCATCTAGGAGACAAGTGCCTGAGAATGTGTCTGATAAATACTCTGCTCTCTTTGGCAGTAGCTTCTGAGCAGCTTATGTGCCTACACTCAGAGTGCCAGCTCTTGTGGAGCCCACCCTGGGCACCTATCTCTCACCCATTCTGTGTAGGAACCTTTTGCACAGTCAGTCTACATTCTTACCATGACATCTTGCTGCCATGTGGACTATGGGCCATATACAGATCCCCAAAACATCAACTCAGCCAGATTTTAAGTATTTCAGTCCCAGAGTGTTGGTGTCTTCTCAGGTACCCATCAATATTGAAGCTGCCTAATTTGGATACCTTTGGCACCAGGAATCTGCAGAAAGCATACTGCAGATCACCTGAGGGTACATTTTGATTATCAAGTAGCAGAGCCACTGCAGAGCAGGGAGATGTGAAAACTAGGCGTGGAAGTAGCTCCCAGCTCCTAACTCCAAATGTAGAGGAAAAACAGCAAAACATGTTCTCAATGCTAAGATATCACCTTTGCTTTACAGGTTCCTATAGGTGCACTTTCGAACAGAGAAATGATTTTCACACACGGATATACAAGGCCACGAAAACAATAACAGTCTCTCCACTATCCATCACTGCAAACTTAAATAACATCGATGTTATATGCAACAGTCCTGAAATGCAGACAAACAGTCCTCTGCTGTCCTGTTGCATTGACAGACACTTACCATCACTTACTGGTGACTGGAAAGTAGATGGAGCAATCAGTATTACAGGTAAGATTAACAAAAGATCATCTTTCACCCGCTAGGTTTGTTCGTTCTTCAAAGATCTCCTCCTAATTGGCTACCTCAAAGGCCAAGTCCTAGGATTAATACGGAGTATGCTCCAAAGGGGGGGTGTGGGAAGGAAAATGGATGGACAGTGTGGTACAGACTCCATATGTGTTGCACAGGTGCCAGTGGGATTTTGGGCATCTCCATGCACTGTGCAGACATTGATCCATAAAACTGTGCCATCCCAGGTGGAAACAGCTGCCTGGACCAGCATCATACCAACTTTTTCCAAAACACTTTTTTCTGGAAACAGCTGCCTGGACCAGCATCATACTGACTTTTTCCAAAAAACTTGTTTCTGCATTGTCTAGTTTTGAGAGCAAGGATGAGTGCATCAGTCTCTGCTACTGTCTCCAGAATCACCCTTGGGATATGAAAAGCTTCTGTGTACCACATATTGAGATTTGGCAACTAAGAGAGGCAGGTGTACACTTGGAAACAGCTGCACCATAGCTAAATACTGAGTGCATAGTTTCCCTCTCCAACTGTAGTTGCGATACATCACATGCCAGTTGAGTCAGTGGCATCCCACAAGACTTTACTTATAATATGGATATAAAGAGTTAATAAAGCGCCAAGTAAATGTGTTACAAAGAGTTACAAAATAACATCAATAGAAACGCTCATAAATGTCTATGAACCTCAGTAATAAACAGCCTATTGCCCTCAATGTTTTATGGGTATGGATTAACTGTTTATTGTTAACTGTTTGTTATAAATGAAATTTAGCAGAAAGCAGGACAGCAAAATGAAAGCAAACCTTCAGAGCTCATGTGCACAGTCGTTTCCACAGAGGACAGGTACTGGTGTGCAGCAGTGGTTGCAGAGAGAGGGGTGATCCTGGCCTACTGTAATGAGCTGTTTTGCCCTTGATTCCCTGTGGTCAGGCTTTCCCCCAGAAACTCTGCTGTCATGCCAGATGCACTTTCAGCTGCACCATGGGACAGCTTTAGTGGGGTTTTCCCCTTATAGGTAAACGCGCAGTCTTAGATTTAAAGTTGAATGACTGTCAAGTACCTCCAACTGTTTATTTCAAAATAAGAAAACAATAAAATCTGCAGTATTTACTCCCGGTTTACTTATCTTACTCATCCTAAATATCACAGATAATGAGGTTAGGCTGAACGAGAATACTCTTCATTTTGGCTTATCCTGAGGTATCCAAGCAATGTTGTTGCTCTCAGACAGGTTTTGGCAGGAGGTGCCCAGTACCATGCTGAGAGCCATCTTCAGGCCTTTGGAAGACCACTGTGAGTGTTGCCAGAGTAAAAGATGTGAAAGAACTTCATCAACGATGACTTAAAAGTGCCATGCTGTCAAAGTTTACATACAAACCCACAAGGTCTTCTTTAGCTAGAGTGATTGCTTGTGTTTCCCAGAGCCCAGGTATTTTTGGACATCCATAGCCCTTCAAGGAATGTTTATTTCTCTTTAGGAGTCTCCAATTTCAGTGAAAACTGCACTGACTACAAGCTCAACATCAGTCAATCACTATGTGCACCTGAGAAGTCAGGTACAGTGACGACATATACATGTGAGCTGCAGACTGGACATGGTGCTAGGCGCAGTCAAAACATCAGCGTGACGTACTTCCAGACAGGTAAGAGTCAGGTAGCATGTAACAGACCATCAGCTTTTTAACATGTAGGTGGCCTCTGTGGCACACGTCGTTTGCAAGCAAATGATTATAAGTGACTCTCAATAATATGACATTTATCTTGTGTTGTCTCAGCCCATGTAACAATATCTTCAAGCATAAGCGCATCAGTTTCTGAGGGATATGCATTCAATCTAACGTGTGAAAGTGATGTGAGCAATTATGACAGTGTCAGTTGGAAAATCCAGTCTGGAAATAACACAACAGCAGTAGACTGCCATATGTGCGTCAAAAATAGCAAATTTCCAGCCACGTCTGTGCTGTCAGTGAAGAGTGCCACACAGGACTGGAACGGTGAGTGAACCTGGTTTGTATTGACTACAAAGGCAATGAAATCTCCATACCAGATCATTTACATGCATTCCCTAGCCCTGCCACAGTAAATAAAAAAGAGTTAAAATCATAACTACTGGAGGACAGCAAGACATGATGCTGCCTACAACTCTGTACTTGTTCAGTATTAGGGCTCATGACCATGCAAAAGCTGAGGAGCACCTCTGTTGACTGAGACATGGTTTTTGTGTCACTTCTTTCAGGCACCTACATCTGCACATTCTCCCAGAAGTACCTGGAGAGTTCTGCCAATATGACAATCGAGGTTATTTCCTCGCTTCTGAAGCAGGACATCCTGATAGACCCCATTACAGCACCTATACAGTGCAAAGTGCAACAAGCCCTTCAGTGCTGCATAAGTGCTGGCACCATGGAAAGTTACAATGTTACATTCATGGTTCAACAATATGAATTTCCAGTTGGTAAGAAACAATAAACTTGCGAATAACTAGTTGCACTATGTGTCACAACCCAGTCCTTGGGGTTTTTTTTTGTTTTCAGTTAGGTCTGTGTAACCAATTCATGCTTACTGCTATTTTGACAACCCACAAGTACTCCTGAGAGCGTAAAAAAAGGGTAATGGACTTTTTTCAGGATGGTTGCTATGCCTGGGGATCATGGTTGAGATTAATAGAAGAGCAACTGAAGTCACTGCTGTAGTGAAAAATACATAATAGGTAAATTCAATGTTTGGCTTGGCTTGCCAGGCAGTGAGAAGTGAGCATCCTCACCATTGTTCAGATTAGAAATTGCTGAACTCCATTTATTTGCTTTTATCTTCCACTCTGCCACTTTTTTGAATTGAGTATCAAGGAAACATTATTTAAGGAGATGATCTAATAATTAATGAAAAATATATAATAACACATTAAGAATGCAATTCAAAGAACTACTCTATTTTCTTCAAGGATACAGGTAACATATGTTTAACAGCACAAAAGCCTAAGCTTCTATGTCCTCAAATTTAGGGCAGTTCTGCAGCTTCCCTGGCATGTTTTTATATACCAGAAGTTTTCAAGTTTTTAACAAAACAGTTAGTTTGAAAAAAAGCAAAGAAGAGCTACCTAAACTAACCCAGGAAACACGCAGGAGTGCAAAAACAACAGGGTGAAGCGTAAAGCAGGTGGAGACTGAGGGGTCCTTCGGTGGCTGAGAAAAATGCCTGAAGGGATTGCAGTCAGGGACCCTGAGGCGCAGGCGTATTGAAAAGCATTGGGAGTGTGGTACAGATCCTGAATTCAAAAGAACCATATAAGAACATCAAAAAAGTATCCTAGCCTAAATGAAAAACCTGTGGTAAAAGCAGAAACAGGAAGAGTATTCTCCAAAACGTTTTCTAAAGCAAATTTTGGTTCCTGCACAGTAAAAGAGAGCTTGGGCAGGATTTGCTCATACACCAGTAATTGAAAAGGTACTGATCATGCAGCAGGTGCCAGAAGATTTATTAGGTGGGGAGTAAGAGACAGAGATCAGCATACAGAAAGGAAGCTTTTCCACAATTTTTTTTTTCTCTAGGACCCACAGAAAAGAAAGTTTTGCAGAAGCTTTCTGCTGTCTGCTAGCTGACTGACCCCAAATCTGTGTTAACCTATTTTAATCCTTCCATACAGTAAAAAAGAAAGACGGAAATTTGTTTTGCTACATGTACAATTACACAGAAACAGAATGCAGCAAAGAGAAAGAGTTCACAGCATATTGCAAGTTTACTAACCGCATTGGACAGGAAGTCAACAGTGAAAATATAAGTCTGCACCTCATACCTGGTAAGAAAAAAGTTACTATTTAAAGCTGTTAAATAGGAAATTCCAGTATCTTTGTTAAATCAGATGCCATAAATTTCTCACTGGTGACACCTAACAGGAGCAGTTTTTGCTAACCAAGAATTTTTGTTCCTTTTTTTTGACAGGAAATTTTGAAATATAGAGGAAAATATCAATTTTGCTGCAATTTTAAAAAATAAATAGACAAGAAGTTTTGTCTTCACTGTATTTGACAGTGGTCCCAGTACGTTCCCAAGCAGTTATAGTTCAGCCATCTTCTGTCCCTACTTTCTTCTGGTGCAGCCTGCACCACCAAGCTTTGTCTCTGGTGTTAAAACATGGTCATGCAGCTCCCAGCTTACACCAACAAAAAATTATTATCATTATTATGATCATTATTCCAAAAAATTCGGACTGCAAGACATGTACACCTGGAAAGGTCATAATTAATGAAGAGAGCAAGCTGAAATCCTAACTAATTTAAAGAACTCTGAACTTCAGGAGGTCACAGATTTGATGGGGATAAATTATTCATCTCCCTGCTTCCTAGTTTTCTACCTCTATGTCTTTTTCTCAATACAGATAATAAAGTTTCCTGCTCAAACAGCTTGGGCATTGGAATAGAAGGGGACATATTAACAAAGCCATGCTATCAGTCAGCTATTCCAGATGGTTTTACCCAAGGCAAGAAAATTTACAAGTGCTCCAGCAAATCATGGGAGCTTGAAAAGGATGAATGCCTGACTGCACCAATAAACAACCTGCTGACTAGTGCCATGGTAATATTTATGAGTTTTCTAGAGGTTGGGGTGGGCACACAGGAGAAAGCAAAAATTTTTGTTGGGTGTTTTTTTGCTTAACATAATCTAAAATATATGAAGTGTTAAAGAATCAAATATTTAATTAAAAATTAAAAT